TATATATATATATATATATATATATATATATATATATATATTTGAGCATTTCCCTACAAATGTCAACCTTGCCATGAAAAGAAAAATGTTTTCACCAAAATAGCGAAACCATTTCTACATCTTTTTGCATAGGTAAGTGTTTTTACACTTTAATTGTAAAATTGTAATTGTAATTGTTTAATTGTACAGTAATTTTAAAAATACTTAAAAATAAATCTGTCAATGTTTTCAAACTATTATATTTGATTGACCAAAGTCACACAAATGACATTTTCACATCCGTCACATCCATAACAAAGCTTTTCCCTCAAAAATGCAAAAATGTCAAAATAAAATAAAATCAAACATTTTTTGTTTTATAAAAAGCCAGCTCTTATCATTTTGATGAGCATTGTTTATTTTGGGTTGTGCGGTTTAATTCACAGAATTTCTACAAAATATGTTGTATACTGTAAACTCGCAGACTTTTGTTGTCACATCCATAACGCATCTTTATTTTCCTTATTTAAATAATAACAAAAAAATGTTTACATTGAAATTTTTTGATTCCATAACTCTGTGGTTTGTTGTTTTGGAAAATATAAACAGATGTTTCAATATAATGTTAACGTTTACTTTCTCTGTACGTTTGTTTTAAATTTTCACTGCAAATGTCACGTCCATAATGCTGGAATCCGCCATGTATATAAAATATATTAGGGGTGTCACGATTTCGATTTTTAATCAAAATCGATCGAAATTTATGCTCCATTTCGATTATCGAATCAAAAAATAGAATCGTCGATGCTGCCACGCCCCCATGTCACGTCAGCTTGGCTTGCCAAGCGGGAAAAAAACAGGCTTGTTGAAGTGCTTGTTAAACTGCAGAAGCAGGAGACCCGTCGACAGAGCTTAAACCCTCTCCTCTTTCAATGAAGTCGCCGGTGTGGAAGCATTTTGGATTTCCAGTGAGTTATGTTGACAACGTTCGTGTTGTCGACAAAAAAAAAAACACAGTTTGCAAGCTCTGCTATGTACGTATTACGTACGGTTCGTCCGATAGACAACACCGGCATCGCGATCCTCCGCCCGCCCCCGTTGCAAATCCGCTCGCGAAAAGTACACACTCAGGCCCTGTTGAGGTAATTCAGCTTTTCATAAATGACATGTAACGCCAGGGAGTGATTTTTGCACGTTCATCGCTTCATTGACAGTGGAAATTGCTTGAGTGAAAGCTGAAAAACATCTCAAAACACTGTCGATTAAATTTAAATGATAGACGTCACGCCGGTGTGCATGATGAGGCTTAATTCTGCATCTACAAAACAATTTGCAATTTCAACAGTAATTGAATTTGATTGTACCGCTTCACAACAATACAATTGCCGTAGTAGTAGTTGTGGTAGTTTCCCCATCACATGAAAGGTAGATTAGCGTATTTGCATGGCTGATTGTATTGTTTGTGTGTGCAGAAAGTGGACCCCAGTGGTCAGCCCACCAGCTCGGCTCATCCGGCCCGATTCTCACCCGACGACAAGTTCTCCAGGCACCGAGTGACCATCAAGAAGAGATTCGGACTCCTGCTGACGCAACAGCCCCGGCCTGTGCTCTAAACACACACACACACACACACACACACACACACACACACACACACACTCAATAACACTGGACTCAAGTCACTCACACTTTATTATCATTGTTTTTATTTTTGTACAAAAGAGTGATGTATGTTTTCTGTTTTCACATGACCATCAAGAGTGCTCAACATTATTTTACACTCTTTTTTTTAAATACAATAATATGATTTGGGATTATCAAAAGCATGGCTCCATTGTTTGCTCAATGTGTTTTATGTGGAGCCGATGGAAAATAAAATTAAATGGCTGAAAGTGTGATACTTTTGTGTTTTGTGGTTATTTAATACATGATCTAAAATAGAAAGATTAAAAAAAATGTGTATTTATTTTTTACTTGTATTTATTTTTTAATAATGGAAGTATGACGCTGAGAACTACATTTCCCTACAGCGCAGCCTTCGCGCATGCGTCATGGCGCCGAGCAGCGTGCCTCTCGGGAGCGCGCTTTACGCCAGTAGTCAGTCAAACGTGCTGATTTGATGATCTGAAACCGGAGCGATAAACACACCGGGTGTATTCGCGTGATGACCGGTGTTTATCGAGCCCGTGACCGCCGACAACACACTAGAGATCGACTGGAGCCTGAAATGAAGCGATTCTGCTGATCGGAAGTGAGTAACGAGACTGTTAATGCGGCTCTGCGTTTATGCCTCAAACAGCGCGAAAGAGTGATGCTGTATTACTTTCGCTTCATTACTTGTGTATGAAGAGTTTAAGTCGCTTTATGGGTGGACATTGTGTCATTATGAGCCGGTGTGAGCTGTGTGTGTGTGTCTGTGATCTGCTTATAATTGGCTTAATGGAGGCGCTCAGGTGCTGTTTGTATTCCCTCACTGAAAGTGTCGCAGGAAACAACGGTTGGTCTGTGTCGCAAACCCTACCGAACACCCTATATAGACAGCACACCAGCCAGGCAGGGCTTTCGTGCCTTAAATGTGTCATGGTATTATCACTTAGCATGCTAGTACTGTAACTGTCCATTATGTACCCATGAAGACAGCTCATTAGGGTTTGACAAGTGCTGTCTAGCTAGGCTGCTCACTAGATTGTGAAGGTTTCTGAGGGTGCGATGGCTAGAAAGATGGCAATTTGGGCAGCTAGCTGGTATAATGCTACCATAATCCAGCTAGTTGTTATTCAGTGACAAACATATACATACATGGATACATATTACATACACACACTCACACATATATGTACACATATTCATTCATTCATTTTCTTTTCGGCTTAGTCCCTTTATTAATCAGGGGTCACCACAGCGGAATGAACCGCCAACTTATCCAGCATATGTTTTATGCAGTGTATCTCCTTCCAGCTGCAACCCATTTCTGGGAAATATATATCTATATATATATATATATATCTATATATATATATATATATATATATATATAAAAACACACACACACACATACACACACACTGTGCTGTTATATACATATATACAGTGCTCAGCAGGGGCTGAATTAGTGATTTTGTCCCCCAAGCAATTCCAGCTATAGGGTTCAAGTCCTGAAATGCACCCTTTCCACTTTTATTTAATTTTATTTATATTGCTGTTTTTTTTGACATTTTAAAATAATTAAGTCTCTACTTTTTATATTATTAGTTTTCATAAAATGAATAAAAAATTGTAACATAATAAAGAATTTTTTTTTATGAAATTTACTACTAAACTGCTCCATGATATATATATATATATATAAATTTAATATTGCTATTATGACATAACATTACATTATTATAATAATATTTAATTACGTTAAAATTGTATTTTTTTTAACTCTCACCATACAAAATATGGCAGAAAATGATGTTATATATTGATCATGGGTATAATTTATACTTCTTGATATTTATTGGGGGCCCTAAGCGGCCGCTTACCTTGCTTTATGGTTAAATCTGCCCCTGGTGTTCAGCATAATTGAGTACAGCCCATTTTGAAAAGTAATATTTTTTATTAAACCGATGAATTCATCACAATAATATTTGTTACCAAACATGTTTAGAAATTGAAAGATAATACAATTAAATACCGGCTAAATATTGCAAAAATAAATACAAACTACACAATTTCAACTTAACTTTTATAATTTTTTTTTTTGCTTGTCTTGATTTTTTTCCTCTTTATTAAATTTGTATTTAATAATTTTCTATGACATAAATTTGGCTGTACTAGTTTTTGGAACATTATTGTAAGTTATTTGGTTAGATGAGCTCCAGATTTAGCTTCAGTACTAACTAATGTTGTATTTGCACAAATATAATATTGTAGAGCTTCCTGCTAAACATATGAATTTGAATGAGAGATCTGTGAGGGGTGTGCTTATATATGCTGAGCACTGTACATGCATATAGACATACATGTATATACAGTTGAAGTCAGAATTATTAGCCCCCCTGAATTATTATTACCCCTGTTTATTTTTTCCCCAAATTCTGTTTAAAGGAGGGAAGATTGTTTCAACACATTTCTAATCATAATAGTGTTAATAACTCATCTCTAATAACTGATTTATTTTCTCTTTGTCATGATGACAGTAAATAATATTAGACTAAATATTCTTCAAGACACTTCTATACAGCTTAAAGTGACATTTAAAGGCTTCACTAGGGTAATAAGGTGGACAAGGCAGGTTAGGGTAATTAGGCAAGTTATTGTATAACGATGGTTTGTTCTGTAGACTATCAGAAACAAATATAGCTTAAAGGGGCTAATAATATTGACCTAAAAAATTGTGTTTAAAAAATTAAAAACTGCTTTTATTCTAGCTGAAATAAAACAAATAAGACTTTCTCCAGAAGAAAAAATATTATCAGACATACTGTGAACATTTCCTTGCTCTGTTAAAAATCATTTGGGAAATATTTAAAAGAAAAAAAAATCAAAAGGGGGCGAATAATTCTGACTTCAACTGTATATATATATATATATATATATTATTGAAGGAAGAACAAGGTGAAATAATACATACAAAGATTTGATAAAGAATGTATTTGTTTTATTTCAGTGAGGAAGTTTTTAATATCAATGTTTGCCCATTGAGTTTGATTGCGTTATACTTTTAAGCATAGACCTTTTAATTCCCCTCTTAGTTTTAGTTTGGGGAAAGTGTTAAGCCCTTTTCAAAGTAAGAGATCATTGGATTCCATACTGTATAAAACAGTGGTTCTCAAACTTTTTTCATCAAGTACCACTTCAGAAAAAATAGTCCCTCCAAGTACCACCATATGACCAGTATTGAAATACGGTAGTGTAGTACAGTGGTTCCCAAAGTGGGCGTCGGGACCCCCCGAAGGGTCGCGGGGCAATGAAGGGGGGTCGCCTGGTGATTTCCAAAAATCTATTTATTTTTATTAAACCATAAGAATTAATATATTTTATCCATAACTATACTGAAAATAAAAATAGTCGTTTATAGTTACTATATACTATATAGTTACTAGTTCTATTGGATTGCGCCCCCTGGGGTAATTACATTATATTAAAGGCAGCAATAGCGTCAGATGCATTTTGATTTTATAACATCAGGTTATACTTTCTGGCACATTTAAAGCACTGACACAAATTTAATTGGTGTGTCTGCGTCATTGCATGCAAGGTTTCTGTATTTATAACCACCTCAGAGGATATTGGGGGTCGCGAGTCACTGGAATTGTTATTTTGGGGGTCGCGGGCTGAAAAGTTTGGGAACCCCTGCACTAATACATATTATATGCATCTGTGCTTTTGTTTTTGCTTGTTGTTTTTTTCTGACTCTGGCTGAACACTGTTGAGATGTTACTTGTGAGGTCATCCGTGTGTTATGATTCTCCTATTTTTGCTTTAGACCAGCTAGAACCAGTTTTTAGGTTCAGTATTTTGCGTCATGTTTTAACTCCATTTTGTTCTGTTTCTCTTTTTCTCCCCTACCTCCCTCTCTCTCTCTCTCACACACACACACACACACACACACACACTTGATCCATCATCCACCGTTGTTTCTCACGACAGCGTTCTGTATAAACAAAGCGTGCTTTATGTTGAATAAGAGTAGAAGAGCAGTGTTAATTTGTCACACACTGTCAGATGATGTCCCACAGAGCCATAAAGCGCTGACGCAGCAGATTCAAGCGCTGATCTGAGCAAAAACGAGCTCTTTTAGGGATTCACACTCGTACACTGAACGCACAGATTCCTCGTATTGTTCAATTAGTGGTGCTCTGTTAAGCTGATAGGAGTGTGTTTTGGTTGTTTTCGTGCATCATCTGATAGTAGAATGATGTTGTGTGTGTGTGCTGCACGCGTCGTCAGCTGAGTGACCCCCGGGGACTCCGTCCTGATGGACTCCCAGCAGCCGGCGGTGCGGGACGCTGCCATGGCCTCCTCCGTGCGCTTTACCGTGACCCCAACCAAAGCGGAGGATCTGCCGGACACGTCGCCGGACATCAGCGGCCGCTCCAATGCCAGGGTCCGCTTCGGCTCCAGAGAGAGCGTCAGCGAGGCATCTGGGGCCTTCAACACCTCCACAGGGGCTGAAACACCGGACCGCGGCCACGAACAAGGTGAGACGCACCTACTGCAGGCATTTCTGCTGATAGAATAGAGTGTTCATATTTATTTAGTTCATATTGATTATACGCTGTATATGCAGCAGGGGAAATTTCTAAAGGTGCTGTTGACTTGAAATTTTCCCTGGATGTTGGCGACACCCAAAGAAATCCAGATATGCAAATAAAACAAAACTAATTAGTTTACAAATGACCTTCTGTGTAGTTAAATGAAATGATGCAGGGCAAAAGTATTGAACACATGAAGAAAGGGAGGTGTAGTTTAGCAGTGAAAGCCCAGACAGCAGCTGAAATCTCTCAGTCGGTCTTGAGTAACCGTCTGTCCTTCCTCAGTGTAAATGAACATCAGCTGCTTCAGTTTAACATCTACATCAGCAGAGGATGAAGATGAAACCATTTCAGCAAGATAATGAACCAAAACACAGCCAAAGAGACTCTCAGATGCTTTCAGAGAAAGAAAACCAACCTGTAGAATGGCCCAGCCAATCACCTGAGCCGAATCCAATAGAGAATACAGAATAAAGCTCAGATTTGATAGACGAGGCCCACAGATTATCAAGATTTTGACACTCTCTGTTTTCTGATGTGTTCAATACTTATTCCCTCACTCGTATTTGTATATATTATGCATGTAATGGTATTAAAACCCAACTAAACATACAGTGATACACCCTACTATGATCTGAACCAGGATACTCTCATATTGTTATTGAAGTAATAGTAACTAGATTCTTAAAGTTTGAGAACAAACTTTGAGGCTGGCTTGTGAAAGCCTGACGGTAATAGTTTATTTATTTTAAACAGTTTTAAAAAGTATGAAAAGATAGATAGATAGATAGATAGATAGATAGATAGATAGATAGATAGATAGATAGATAGATAGATAGAGGGATGGATGGATGGATGGATGGATGGATGGTGTGCTGGCATAAGTCAAACAAGCCAACCCCCGCTTCTCTACGATTTTCTGATACTGAGATATAGCTGCTGTTATATCGTTGCTAGGTTAGTCTGTTTTGTTGACTGATGATGTATCAAAGCTTCTTGCCAGTATGAACAGTTAAAAGCAACACACATGTCTCTATCACACTGCAGCATGACAATATCAATCTGAACCTCTATAATGGAGGTCTATGGGACCGTTGCTAGGGTACCATATCTGGTTGTTAGGGGTGTGGCTAAAAAGTTAAAAGCTCATCAGTTATTGGTAGTTTGGTAGTCTGAGTTAAATGAGCCCAGTTAGAAGTCTGTGCGACAGTCTGATGTAGAGTTATGAGCTCACAAAGTTTGACCCAATGTAAAGTCAATGAGAGTTTTTTGCAGTGGAAGTCTATGGGACAGTTTCTAGGGTCCCAAAAGTGGTTGCTAGGGTGTGGCCAGAAAGTTAAAGCTCATCAGTTATTGGCAGTTAGATAGTCTGAGTTAAATGAGCCCAGTTAGAAGCCTGTAGGACAGTCTGATGCAGACTTATGAGGTCACAAAGTTTGGTCCAATGTTAAGTCAATGGGATTTTTCAGACGGTCCCGGGACGTTTTTCGGAAAACCAAAAGTCGGATCAGTCGGAAAAGATATAGCAACCCGAGTCAGACAAGTTTGGAGGTCTGGTGTGAGTTTGGTGGTCATAGCTTGAAAGCTCTAGGAGGAGATAGAGTTTAATTTTTAGTCTCAGAAGAAAAATAGGATAACAATAGTCTGGCTTGCTACACAAGCCAGCCTAATGAGAATGCTCAATGACACAAGTATGCATAAACAACTAAAATAAAACTAACTTCCATAATTAATGCACACAGTTTTACACACTAACCTCGTATGTTTTTTAGTTTTGCCTTCATTCAGTTGTATTTTTACCATCTTTTTTAGCTGAAAGGTTTCTGTCTGGCAGTTGTAGTTCAGTCTCAGAATCTATTTTAATTACTGTAAGTGCTAGTCAGTGCAGCGCAGTGTTCGGCTGTGAGGGTGTGACTCAGAGTCTGCAACATCATCATCTAAAAGGGGAAATACCCTTCACACAAACGCCTTAACACACTCACACACACACACACACACACAAACACACACACACACGCAGAAATCTTCTCATTTCAAAAGCTTTATACCTGAACGGCACACCTCTGGGAAGAATGCAGTGACGCAATAACAGTGCGTGTGTGTGTGTGTGTGAGAGTGCAAAAGGGAGTGAGTGGCTTACCTTGGCTATAGTTATGTGCCATTCACACTGGGCGTCAGCTTCAACGCTTCCCATTCACTTTGAATGGGTGATGTCAGGCATTGCCGAACTGCATTGTGGATCCGTCGGCGTCGCTTCAGAGGTGTTATAATGTGTGCATAATGTGATCATTATTAGCAGTATTATTGATTATCTGCAGATTTATATCTGCTTTAATAAACACAAGTGTAGATGTGTCCAGCTGTGGGGTTTTGGAGAGGTCTGCATCAGCATATGTGGATAAGAACAGGACGTGTGTTTGGATATAACTCAGTCTTCTGACCACACTTCATTATTATTGTTTATTTATTCCTCTGCTGGAGATCAGAACTGAATCTAGAAATAGTTCAGACAAAAATCTCTGCTCTTAACAAAGGAGATTAAACATGTGGGCTGATGGATGTTTCCACCGTTTCCTCACTCCACCAAAGTAAAGGAGTAAAGTAAAGGAGTAAAGTAAAGAGGCTGAATGGAGGAGGCTCGTTCTTTATCCTCGCGCTGCAGATGCTCTGTTCAACTGTTTTCTCGCAAAGCCACCATGTAAATATTAAATGCACCATGGAGCGACGCAACTTACTCTTAAAGGGAATGAGAGACGAGACTCTGATTGGTTAATGCACGATATGCTCAAAACACACCCAGAACTCATTAAGAGAATCAGCACAGCCCTGTTAGACCATGCGCCAGGTGCAGAGCGGATTTATCCATCTTTAATATAGTAAAAGTGGATTCAGACAGCATGGTGCCCGCTGGGTCTTAAAATGTCTTAAATTTCAAAAAGATTATGCCTTAAAGTTTTAAATTCACTGAAATATGGTATTGCAGGTCTTAAATACTTTTAAGCAGGTCTTAATTTGTCTTTTTCTGTGTAAAGCTACCCAATCAATACAACAAACAATCCCTCTGAAATTTACCAATATGGTTTAATTATCTTCTTTACCTCCTTACAATAACATTTCTTTAAAAGTTCTTCGTGTATTTGTCCATAAATGTATGTTGTGGATAAAATTTAGTTTATTATATTTTTTAAAACTTGTCTTTAAAAAAAAAAAAAAAGTTATGGTGTTAAAAAATGATGGTTCATTCTGCCGTGGCGACCCCTGATTATTAAAGGGATTAAGCCGAAGAGAAAATGAATGAATGAATGGTAATAAAAATGATGCATTTAACTAGAGTTTGCTTCTTTGACACATTATTTAAAATGTGTAGCTAAGAAATAACTGAACTTTTATTTTAATGGGGCAAGTAAGAAAAAAATCCACTGGCCATTACAAAAATACTTAGCATTTTGCCCTCTGAAAGTCGGAAATTTTATTCATATAGTCTTTAAAAAGTCTTAAAATTTGACTTGGTGAAACCTGCAGAAACCCCGACGCCCCATTCACACGGGGCGTCAGCGTCAATGCTTCCCATTCACTTTGAATGGGTGACGTCAGTCGTTGCCGAACTGCATTGTGGAAGCGTCAACCAATCAGATCGCTGTATGCAAATACACAGCTAGACAGTGGCCTTTTGCTGACTGAATTTCATTGGCTGACGCTGCTATGACGATCGCGTCAGCCCCAACTTCAGACACGCCTTCAGTCAAGCGTTGACGCTGTAGTCCCGTGTGAATGGGGCGTGAGCCATGCCCTTAATGCTTTTGCACCATGAAAGCTTTAGACTTTCCACCTAGATCATTAAAATAGAGCCCTCAATAACTCATAATGTTAGATGATGATTCTGCAGTGGGAGTGCATCTCCATAAATCCAATAAATCTAATTAGTAAATTTCCCCGACATATTTCCGCAGTTGTTCTGTGATATTTGCAGGTCATTTCTGTATGTGCATGTGTTGTGAGTATTTTCATGCGAAATGATTTGAAAATAAAGTCAAGAAAAATATACAACAAAAATACATGTTTATTATGTCCCGAGTCTCACAGTATTTAAGTTCAGTAACTGAATGATAAACACAAAAATAATTCAATAAAAATAATCATAGTTAAAGTCACAAGTAGTACGATTCCTTATACCTGATGCTTTTAACATCATTTTTTAATCACAGGCATCAAAAACACGTGCACATGATCAATTTTAATACAAACTCTACATTGCACATATCCTGCGATGTATGACTATTGTGAATGAAGAGACTGCCATATCCATGCTTAAACCATATATTGTGCAACCCTAGTAAACACACACACACACACACAGGTTTGACTTGGTGAAACCTGCAGATTATTACACACACACACACACACACACACACACACACACACACACACACACACACACACACACACACACACACACACACACACACAGAAGATGTTATTAGATGATAGTTGAAGCTGAATGTGTATTTCAGGAAGCAGAGACAGTCAAGA